ATTCCTGGATGTCCTTGGTGAGCCAGGGAGGCTTTTGGGCACTCTTGCCCAGCTTGCTTCTTATTGGGATTGTCACCCCTTGGGCCCTGAGTATTGTCTCCTTAAGGAACGACCACTCATCTTGGGCACTGAGTTCCCCTGCCCTCGAGAACCCCAGCGCCTCTCCCACCAATCTCAACTCGTTGAAGTTGGCCCTCTTGAAGTCTAGGGCTACCGCCTTGCTGCAGGCCCTTGTCACCCTGCGCTGGATGATGAATTCCAGCAAGCAATGATCACTATCACCCAGGTGGTCAAGGACCTGGAGCCCCCTTACCAGATCGTTGCCTGTGGCCAGGACCAGATCCAACAGGGCATTTCCTCTGGTGGGACTGTGCACCTCCTGGGTTAAGTTTTGCTGTACCTTAGACTGGTCTAACCTCCCCAAATGCCTTTATACACCTCTAGTCTCTCTGAGCAATTTAAAAGCAGTAACAAAAACTGTTTTCCATCCAGGATACAAGTTAAGTTTAGAATAACTCCAATTAACATCAAGCATATATTATTCACTGTGTTTTTAAATATTACATGATCTTATATTTTATTTCAGGAAAGTCACAAACCAAACCCTCCTCAGAAGCCTTTACCAGCAAATCCTCTGAACAAAACCACTCGCTTTAACAGTGCCTCCATCCCAGTCCTTGGACAGGGGAAATCTATGCCTCACATTACTCCTGTAAGGTGAGTTTTGTGAATCAGAACTGCATATGGCAAAGCACATACCTTGCTAGAAATAGTAAGATCTGTCTTTCTTACAGCAAGCTTACCATACTTCTGGAGAAGCCTGGATCCTCTCCATTTAAATGGTTTCTTTAGACTAGTAAAGTTATCTCCCAACATAAACACGTTGGCTTTGTGGCTGTATCTTATTCTTGTAAGAGACTATTATCATATTATAAAACTGATAAAAAAAATTGAAAGCATGTATTGTGAAAAAATTAGGCACCATATCATAATGAGCCTTACTCTGATCTGCACCTAAGAACAATATAAATATCTTTAGTCATTATCAAGATATATAGCAATAATTTCCTTTTGCTTTCTGTGTATATGAAAAATTGAACCAGATTCCCAGTTAGTGTGTATCAGCAAGGCTGCATTAATTTCAATTGAGCTATGACAGATTATACCATCTGAGAATCTGGCCGGAAGCTTCTCATTCACTTAATAGTTAATTAATGGTTTTAAATATTATCTATTACAGAAAGGCTATTCTAGACACAGGCAAAATTCCCACTGATAGCCTATCTCCCACTGATGGAGACAAGCTTCCAGGAGGTTTGCAGAATTAGGTGAACTGAAGAACTGAGTGTCATTATCAGCTGTTAAGAGTTGCCATATCAGGCCAGACCAGAGATCCATCCGCTCCAGGATTCTGTCTGTGACTGTTTCAATTAGAGAATGTTTTAAAGAGAAAGTATAAGAAACCAACTGGTATGTTCCCACTTCAGTCGTACTCTCCCAATCACAGTGAAGAAGGCTACCTCCCTGACTGTTGCCTTCAATAGCTCCTGATGGAACTACTGTTCATAAATTTGTCTAATCCCTTTTTGAACTCTCCTACACTATTACCCTTCATAATATCCTGGGATATTAATTTGACATGAGTTAGATATTCTGAGTGTTGTATAAAAGTACTTCCTTTTGTTTGTTTTAAAACTGACCCCTGATGGTTTCATCAGGTGTCCCTTAGTTCTTGTGTTAGAAGACAAATTAACTCACTTCCAATTTGCGTTTTCCAAACCATTCATGATTTTAAAGACTTCTATCAAATCCTTTATCAGTGATTTCTTTTCTAAGCTGAAGAAACATACCCCTTCTCATGCCTTCTCCCACAGAAGCCTCTCCATATACTCAATCATCTTTGTTATCTTCTCTGTACCTTTTCTAGTTCTAGTACATCGTTTTTGGGATGGAGTAACTAGAACCACACACAATATTTAAGATGTGGGCACATCATGAAGTAAATAATGGCATAATGTTGTTTTCAATTTATTTTTTTATGATTCCTGTTTTTATTTGCCTGTCTGACTGCTGCTGATTTTTAGAGAGCTCTCTACAATGACTCCAGGATCACTTTACTGACTGGTAACAGATCATTCAGAGCCCATTACTGAGTATGTATAATTAGGATTGTTTTTCCCCTGTGAACTACTCTTCGCTTAACATTGTTAAAATTTCATATGCCACTTTATTGCTTAGTCAGTTTTGTGAAATCTTTCTGCATCCCTTCCCCATCAACTTTGGGTCTATCAAAATAATTTTGTATAATCTGAAAACTTTACCACTTCTCCAAATGCTCCCTTTTCCAGATCATTTATGAATCTGTTGAACATGAAAATTATAACAGGCCTATCAATTTGCAGCACCTAAGAATCTGACCCAGAATATGCAAATCTCCTTGTTTAGGAAGAAGCGACTCATGTTATTGAAACGTAAATCGGGAATTCAATTTGAAATAGGTGACCCAAATGAGCAGTGGAAAGGAATGAGGCAGAAAGAATACAAGAAAGACTGATCCTGTAGCCCTCAGAGGCAAAATCCAGCAAGATCTGTCAGATCTGACACATGCACGATTATATGCAATAACTTTATACATTGATATACATATACATTATGACTTACTGTTTCAAAAATGCTTTATGGACAGAGTTAAATACTCCAGGATCAAATTCAAATCAAATGAAATTTAGTATCACTAAGGATGAAGAGATAGGAAAGGGAGGGGGGTTTCATCACATTACTTAGGAAGAATGCTTAGCAAAGAAATATAGTTAAAACAGGCAAGATAAATAAATTCAAATAGTTAAAACAAAGATTAAAAATAAAAATCCTCCATATTGTAAATGCAGAAGGTGGTTTGGAAGTGTCCACAATTTGCTTTGTGGTTTCTTTGTTGACACAGTTTAGTTTCTGTTTTGACAGTTAAAGAAAATGCATGAAAACAGGTTTTTTTCAAGTCAGTATATTTGAAGAGGAAAATTATGTGACAAGATAAATGATTATTTTTAAATAACCCCCCACACAAATATGTACAAAGAAGCTGATAGTCTTTAAAGCACATGGACCCAAGTGTCTGTGAGAATCATAAATCTGTAGCACAGTGAATATCCCTGAATTTAAAGAAAGTCTACTGTTCCTACAGTAACTGCTTCCAATGAACCCACCTAGCAGCCTTTCCAGTACCAATATAATGCTGCAGACAGAGGTGTTGCAAATAGGATTGCCATCTTTTTCAGAGTGGATACTACCAATTTTTCAGATTCTCTACCTTTTATAGCCTGCCAGCCCAGGACTGCTTCAACCTGGCTCAATGTGCTGCCAAGGGGCTGGCTGGGGCACAAGGGTGCTCCAGTGGAGGACTAGCCAGCAGACAGCCCCCGCACTGAAGCACCCTCGTGCCCCAGTCATCCCTGTCAGCATCTACACGTGCATTGCTGTGCACTACAGAACTCTGGCTCAGGACAGTACTTCTATTTACAAGTACTAACCTGTGGCGGAGTTACCTTCCTGAAGATTAATAGGACTGGACGTGTAGATGTTGAGACTTTAGATGTGCCCAGTATGAAGTAAAGATAGATGAGATCAGTAAACCCT